TGAAGTAGAAAGTCATTGAGGATAGATGTAATTCAGTGAATGACATAATACTATTTGCATTTAGAGAGCTCACTAGCTGCAGCATGATAGTAGCTCAATGCCTTTTTTATAATTAAAGTTTTATTTAAATACAGTCACTTGAATTATTTTGCATATTGTCTATGGCTGTTTTCATGTAAAACGGCAGTATTAAGCAGTTATGACAAAGAGTATGGTTTATACAACCTAAACTATTTATCATGATTTCCTTTATGGGAGAAGTTTGCTGACTTCTGGACTAGAAGGTTACAAGAATCAGGAAGGAAAATCTGATGAAAAGCTATAATACTAAGAGAGGGATTAGGTGTCCTAGATCAAAAGGTAGAAGATAAATTGGATATAAGGTAGCAGATTCAAGATATATTTAAAAGACTTTTCTAATATATTAAGTGATCAGTTAAAATCTAAGTTAGGGGTTGAGCAGCTGGATGAAAGGTGATTCCAGATACTGAAACAGGTAAAATCAAGTGAGGATCAGGGCATTGTGAGGGGGAAATTAAGTTAGAGTTCATACATGCAAAGCAAAGAGTAGTCAAAAGGTAGTTATATTTATGACAGTAGAACCTTAATTCTGAGGCGAGCAAAGACAGGCATCAGCAGAGATGCAATTAAATCCATTGAAATAATGAAATCCTCCAGGAAAAGAAGAGATAAACTTTTAGGTCTTAGTGGTGAACAATAGGACATAATATCAATAAAATCTGAGAAGAAATGGCCAATAATAACGGAGAAACAGAAAGTATGGTGGTATTCTTGGAGTCAAAAAGAATACAGTTTCTTCATAAGGAAGAGTTGCCAAGAGTTTAACTGCTACTGAAAGAGAATAGAATAAAGACAGAGTGATATTCATTGGATTTTCTAATAGGAAAGTAGTTAGTGGCTTTCATGACTGTTTTATCACTGGAATAGAGATAGCAGACAGTTTGAGGAGGGTGCAGAATGAATATGAAATAATTGAAGTCAAGTATAAGGTAAATCCTTAAGAAATTTCCAAACAAGGAAGATGGTATGAGAAGAACTGGAGACATAAATGTCTTTAATTGGATTACATGACAAAATACACAAGACGAGATGCTTTATAAAGAAAAAGGTTCATTTGGCTCACAGCTTTGGAGATTCAAGAGCATGTCACTGGCATTAGCTCCTGACAAGGACTCCCTGGAATGTGTCATAACATGGCCGAAAAGCAGAATGGAACTGGCCACATGCAGAAGAGACCAAGGTTTGAGATATTCTCACTTTCACAACAACCTGATCTCACAAGAAATACTCCATTCATAGTAGACATAATCCACTCCCATGTCACATCATTGATCCACTAATAAAGGTGGAGTTGCCATGACCTAAATACTTTCCATTAGGTCCCACCTCAAGAGTTCCACCAACTTCCCCCATCACCACATTGGCTATCAAGCTTGTGGCATACAAACCTTGGGTTGGCAAGTCATAGCTAAACCACAGCTACAAGTAAGAATAAGAGACGTTCTATTCTGTTTTCTTTATGTATTTGTTTTTGAGTTTGTAATTGTAGAATACATTTATGTGCACGTGAGTTGAGAAAGACAGGGCAACAATATTGAGTAAATTGTGTTTGAGCAATGAAATGTGCAAAGCCATGACTACAAAGTCAATGATGCCTAAAAATCACAGAATATAACAATTCAAGTATGTCTGTAATTGATAAATTTGTTTTAGTGAACTTTAAAAGAGTAAGGAAAAGAAGAGTCAATTAAGTGCTGGAGATAGTGACATTGAAGGAGCCCAAAACAGGTAACAGGAGAAAGACTTTTATGTTAGTATCAAAGTCCATATGTGAGTGAATGAAGGAGACCAAAGAGTAAGACATCAGCAAACAGCAAGAAGAGGTGGAGGGTAACTTAATCAGAGTGAAGGGCATTGGGAAGTGTTATGGTTTAGATATGTGGTGTCTCCCAGAAACCTCATGTGTAAGGCAATGTAGGAATTTTCAGAGGCAAAATGATTAGATTATGGAGGCTATAGCCTAATTGGTGAATTAATCCATTTGATGCATGAATAATTTGAAGAGATTACTGGGTAACTGTAGGCAGGTGGGGCAGTTTGGGATAAGCAGGCCATCATGGGTGTGTCCTTGGGGATTATATCTTGCAACTGGTGCCTTCCTTGCTCCCTCACTTAGGCACTCTAGTTCACCCAACCTCTTCCCCCCCCCCCCCTCTCTCTCTCTCTCTCTCCTTCCTGCTTGCTAAGAATGGAGGAGTATTTCTCCATCATTCCCTCTTGCTGTGAGGCTCTGCCTCACTTCAGGTTCAGAGGAATGGATTCAACTCACCAAGGACTGATTCTCTGAATCTTGTGAGCCACAAATCAACTGTTCCTGCTCTAAGGTGTTCTGGTCAGGTATTTTGATCACAGTGATGAAAAACTGAATAAACATTCCTCTTAAATCTGAGGGTTTGGGCTGGGTTGTGGCTAAATGGTAGAGCACATACCTTGCATGTGTGAGGCACAGGGTTTGATCCTTAACACCACATTTTTAAAAAATGAAATAAAGTCTCATATATAGAGAACCCTGTGACTTTACTCCTCAGAGAACTTCTGAAGTGTTACAAAGAGTAAGATTAATATGTATTTTCTTTAAATAACTTATATTTTAATGCAGTTTCCCACCTTCTTATAATTTTTTTACTATTAATTGATGCAAAGAATGGGAAGAAAGTATTAGTTCTAGAACAATATGTGATAAAATGTATGTATCCTATGCTGATCAAAATTTTATTTTTTTTCTTTTTTTTTGTCTTGCAACTTGAATTTATACTTTATTATTTTCAAACTAAACAAATTAAGAAAATTCAAAATACACAAATGCATGTTTGTTGTAAAAATTTCACACAGGAATATACAAAACAGAAAAACCAAATAACTTGTAAGTACCCCATGGCCCCAATTCCTTTATAGACACAGCACAGCAAAAGGTTATGAAAAACACACGACTTTCCAGACCTGTTATTAGAACATAAAAAAAGTCTTACGGCATGCTATGTGCTGTTAAACATTTTGATGTTCTATTTATTTTTTGTGGTGATGCTCAGGAAGGAAGCCAGGGCCTCAGCTGCTGGGTGAGTGCTCCACCACAGCCTGCTTGTACTGCGGCACTGCAGGGCCATCCCTTTCTTCCTAACAGTTGCCCACTACTCTGCAGGATGGATGCGCTAGACTTTCTTTAAGGGTCCTCTCTCTGTCAATGGCTGGTAACAATGCTACTGTGCACATCCTTCTGTGCACACCCCGGGGCCCATCTCCACTGGAGAGCTGCCCACAGGCTGATGTCTGTGTATATGCTACATTGGCTTTAAAGCCCTCTCTGGACATGCCTTCCTGTCTGTTACTGATATAAAGTTTTCTGAATACCTTGGATGTTTCAGAGCAGACAAATCCAATGAGATGATAGCTTGTCTATGGTCATCCGTACTTTACAAATCCTTATATGCGCATCTACTTCAGTGTCTCTAACATGGTGGACATTCCATAAGTGTTTTCCAGATAAATAGGGAAAAATTAACTAGACACAGGTATAAGATGAGTCAGTTCACTTTCCAAAGTTCCTAGAGGGAGAAATCAGGTCTTAAACTGGTTAGTGCATCAACCAGATTCCATTTGATTCCACGTTTTGTATCTCAGAGCTAGAAACCAGGAGATATTTCATTAAAGTTTCTTAGTTGGGGAAGTTGCAAGATGAATTAAAATTCTTCCTTCACCACTGAAGACTTCCCAAAGAGCTCCAGGAAAAAAGAAAACACAAGACCCAAAACTGCACAGCAACTGAGAAGACAAAGCGTGAAGCTGTAGGCACATGTGCACTCACCCAGGTTTTACAGAATTATAGTAAATGCATTTTAATGTAGACATATATGCCCAATATACCTCCTCCCTCCACCCATTCTCTACAAATTACAACCTTGATGGGAAGCTGGATAGGCAAAGGAGCAGGTCACCTTCCCTCAGTCTCGACATGGTGGACTTCTTCCAGGCAAAGCTCTGGGAACATGGCAATTCCGTCCCTGAAAGGTTCAGAGGTGACTTGACCCAGTTTAGTGCCACTGGCCTTGCAAATGATCAGATGGGGTGAAACTGAGGCCGACCCCATAGACCACGGCATACAATGGTGCAGTGCTTGTGCCATTCAGGCACAAACAGGGCGAAGCCAGGAGTGGGAGATTTGGGGGGCAAAAAGGAAAAGAGCCAAGTACAAAGGAATTTATGAATCTGTTGAAAGGAAATGTCTTAGTTTTATAAGAATGTTGAAAGTTCACTCTTAAATTTCATAATGAAGGACCAGGCTTAGTTAGCAGTATGACATTTATACCAATAAATACTCATAAACACTCAAAGGCCAAAAGATGAACGTTTAGTTAGATGAGTACACGCTGGGCCGTAAGGGCCAGGCCCTGCCCCTGGCACTGGGTATACAACTGCACAAAAATAGCCACGGCTGTCACCGAGTTTACTCCCCATAAGTATATCGTAAATAAGCTGCCAACTGAGCCCTCCCCTTGATATCCCTGATATGACGTGGGCCTGGGCTCTTGTTAGTCAAGCCACTCGCTGTCCTCCAGCCCTGCACTCACCACCATGGCCGTCCCCTGGCCTAGAGCCTCAGTCTATTCAAACCTTTTAGGAATGGTTCAGTTCTATACTCAGTTGGCTAGAGAGCAGCCTTCCAGGCACTTTGTCCTCTTGCTTTTTCCAAAATGGAAGGTTCCAGCCCTGCCCTGGCCATCTGCATGCGAGACACTGTCAGGCAGCAGGCAGGGGGATAGGATGCATCTGCCTGGGGCACAGCACTCCATGTGAGGCCTTGACACAGGCCTGGCCCAGAAAAGAATCTCTCCTTTGAAGTAGCCGAAGTCCCTGGCTGTTAACAGCTATGGCACAAGAGTATCTAATATTTTTGGATTGGCATATATCACACAACTGCAAATTTGTGAATATGGGAAAGAAAAAAAATATATATGTGTGTGTGTGTGTAATATATATATACATTTCCAAAGAATCAGAGCAAAGTCCAGGACAACAAAACCTCCTTTTCGCTGGGGTATAGTACTCTGGAAACTTCTTCCTTTTGCCTGAGCTGGAAGCCATGCTGACTTTCATAGGACATGCCTGATTTTTGTTGAAGGTCAACCTCAGTCCTTCCTTTCAGGTGTCTCTCTCCCAGGCTCCTTTGAGTCTCTTTTTGGATTCGGGGGATGGAGGCTGTCTAGCTTCTGCATGTCTTCTCGAAGACCATTTCTCAGATCTTCATTGTTCCTCAGAAATTCCTTCATCACTTCCAGTCGATTTGAGATCTCTTCGGGCAACATCTCTTGTTCTTCTGCTTGAAGATACATCTCGTGAAGTTTTTCCCTCAGTAATTCCATTTCGATCTCATTTACTTGGCTTGCACTCAGGTAACTTCCTGTTTCGCCTTCATACCCATCTCGCTGATCTTCCTCGGGGATGTGAACAGCCCAGTCAGACGTCAACAACTGTTCTATTCTGGAGTATACTGCCACAATCTCTGGAATATTCCGGAATTCATTTAGAAAATTTTGGATTTTTATCTGAAAGTCTCGGAGCCATGTAGACGATACTTTCATCTCTGAAGAGTGCATGATCTCGTTGCGACACTTAATCACCTTGGCTACCTCCCAAGCGTCCACCGGCCAGAGGCCCGGCCGGCAATTTCCCCAGTGCACGTCTCCGTTCCTGTTGATGTGATGTCTCAAAATCTCCCGTTTCCACCCCGCGCACACCTGACACTGCGGCTGAAACTGACGGGCACGCGGGCAGCACCGCGAGCCGCCGCGGCAGGTGGCGCGCTGGGGCTCAGGCCGCGGCAAGCAAGCCGCGGTGGAAGGAGAACACCTCAAGGCCGACGAAGCCCTGCAGGCAGCTGCGCAGTAGCAGCAGGCAGTGTCCGGCTTTCACCCAGTTCTTGTACTCTGCGCCCAAAATTATATATATATATATTATTTATATATAAAATATATATGTTAATATAATTAATAATATTTAAAATATTATTTATAATATTTATACACATAAATTATTATGTGATATTTATACATACAAATACATGTTCACATTTATACATTTTAACATAAAATAAGAAATAGGACAACTGGTTCTCTTCCTTTTTTTCCTTCATGCTTATGTTATTTAGGTTTCCTTTTATGAGCATGCATTTATTTTGTTAATTAGAAAAGCCAATAAATAGCTATTTTTAAAATAATGTCTTAGATCTGAACTCAATATTAGTTTTTAAAATTGATTAGATTTAAAAAGTGCCACTGCACACAGTGAAATGTGCAATCACATTTTTTTAGCTTCTCTTAAAAGCATGTAAATCTGTATAGTGTTTGCTTTATGAACTTCAATAAAACTAGAAACTTCTGGCAAAATGCCAAGATCAGAACCTGTTTCACATTCAAATTTCTGCATCACTGAGAGTGGAATCTTGCAGACTATCTTGGAGAACAAACACAGTCTTTGCTCTTTCTTGTGTACATTCATGAATCATTGAATTTCCTTCCCCAGTGTGTGAGCTGCTGCCTCGTGGTACTCACCCAAGGCTTGTACAAACCAAAAGGTGCAATGAAGCACAGAAAAAGAACTGTGTAGCTATACCATATGGGTATAAATAGATGAATTGAAAAATGAATCAATTCATAATATAATAGGAAGAAAAAAAATATCAGTGCTATGGGCTCTTGGGTCCCTGATACTACTCAGGTATAGGTGGCTGTTAAAGTAATAAGCAAAGGGAGAAACACAAAGCTATGTATCTCCCCTGTTCTCAACGCTTGAGTAGAATATTACAGTTTGCATTCTCAGCCTTCTCTCTTTCCTTGTTATGGCTTGAATATGAGGTGTCCCCCAAATCTACTGTTAATGCAGGAATAGTCAGAGGTGAAATTAGTAGCTCTCATAGTCAGAGAACACACTAGTCCATCCTAGTTTGAATGAACTGACTGGGTGATAGGAGGATTTTTCTTCACTGTAGTCCCTTCCTCTCTTCCTCTTTCTCTCTCCTGCTTCTTGACCTCACCATGAGCTGAGCAGCTTTTCTCCATTGGACATTTCCCCCATAATGTGCTGCCTCCCCTTTGGCCCAGAGCAGTGGAGTGGCCTCTGTGGACTGAGACCTGTAACTGTGATTCAAAATAAACTTTTCCTTCTCTAATTGTTCTCCTTGTTTATTTTGGTCATAGCAATGCAAAACACTCCTCTATCTTCACATTTGTTTGCTTTGTTTAGCTATCCCATTTAATCTATACTAAATTTCCATATTTTGCCTTTTTATATGATACTTAAAACCTTAATATATCTACCCCCCTTTCCATTAAGAAAAAAATAAATATTATATAAAACAAAGCCTCTGGAGGCAAAAGTGTTCTGAACTACATTTGTGAACAACTTCATAACTCTCTACTTAAGAATGTACCATTCTTCATTTGAAAAGAGTGTAGATTTTTTCTGACATTTACATAACCTAGACGAAACACACATGATGGGAGTAGACGAAACACACATGATGAATCTGAATATTTCCTTTGCATGATAGATAAATTTTTTAAAGTGGAAAAATTTGGTATTTTTTTTAGTCATTCAAACGTACTCTCCTATATCTCATAGTTTTGCAACATCAGCTTCATTTCATACGATACTATATCTTAAGCAAACACACAAAGGTTTGCTTCTTTGAATTACATATAGACTAACAGAATAGGAAAGTTCAGAAACAATGTGTATTATTCTTGATCAAATCACAGAGATTATTTATAGTATTATAGTAGCTGTCTTTTCCCAGCCCTAAGAAGTGAAAGCAGTGGTCAGTATAGCCAGTATTTCTTCATTTAAGTTTTCTTCATACCTCAACATCATTTGAATGCTTGACAAATCAGAGATTATATATTTAATATGGCCAGAAACATCCTAAAAAGTGAAACACAAATATTAAGTTTAAAATATATAAAAATCATACAGGTATCTTAGTTTACCTAAAGAAAGAGAAAAGACAATAAAGGAAGTATTAAACCTACAAATTAACAGAAACAAACAAAGTTCAAGATATGCCTCACTTGTATCTTCACTTTGACAAAGCTTCCTTTGATAATGAAATCAAATCAAGCTCTTTGAATATCCTGGAATATTAACATTCCCCTTGAGTGCTGGTTCCTGGCAAGAATCACTTAGAGAGTTTGCAAACAGTATAAAGATGTAGTGCAACTTTAGGCTCATATTATGTACTCAAGAGTCACAGATAATTTGAATTAGCTATGTATGAGAAAGATGAAAGCAATCAAAGCTGAAGAAAATAAAAACGTCTTGTACTCCATCATAAATATGGCAAAAGAAGCCTTCTCTCCTGCAATTCTGTCCACTGTATACCAATATATGGTTTCAATCAATGGTTTGCAGTCTTCTAAATAATATGCCAACACAACAACCCAATGAATTACAACTTTCCTCTTCCTCTTCTCCCTTTCTCCTCCTTTTCTTTGGGACATGAATGGGGCAGTGCTAAGGCCATTCTATCACTAAGCTATATCCTCTGCCCTTTTTATTTTTTGAGATAGGGTGTCATTAAAATGCAGAGGTTGAAATCTCAAATATGCAATCCTCCTGTCTCAGTTTCCAGAATAGCTGTGATTATAGGCATATGCCACTGCACCCCACTGGCAATGTAACTTTCCAATATGCTGGATCTGGAGGGTGCACAAAACATTATGGACAATTGGAAAAAGGAAGGTGAGGAATTTAAAGTAACAAATAATATGCTACTAAAAAGGGAATCAATATCCTTTTCTCCAAAACTCAGTTTTTACTTTGCACCAAACTTGTTAGAACATTATGTGTGATCTTACAATCAGTATGAGGCATTGAGCAACCTCAACAAACAACTTTAACAAAAGCAAAAGCTACCTAACATTCCAAATAATAAGTTTAAAAAAATTACAAGGTGAAATTCTAATTGCTGTAACTGTGATAACATAGATAATAGATGGGTTTGTAAAAGAAAGTCACACCCATAGATGAGACTCTGTAAAAAAAAATGCTATTGAAAACTGAAGCTATGAGAAGGATGTTAAAAAATGGTTCAGTCTTTAGTAAAAGCAAGTTTACAAGACACTATCAGAATAATTGCAATAATTGATTGATAACCACAGAGTGGCAAGTCATTTAATTTCTTTTTCTCCTGACAGAGATACATAATACATCATTAGGCCATATGAAGAATAAAAAAATCAGTGCTCTACACTTGTTATAGAAATCTTGGCAAAGCAAAAAAAACAAAAACAGAATTGCTACATCATGCACTTTGGTATTGTCTCTGACTATACAGCATTCCAGCATCATCACTTTAGGGTAGACTGGTTGATTTCTAATTGAGTATGTCTTGGTGGAAGACAGATTCCACCTCTACTACCCAACATGAGTTCTGATGATTCCCTGTTCCTCTAGCACTTCACCCAGCCTGATCCAGCCAGAGAATTTGAGTCTGGAGGGAAAGATGAGAAAACAGGGAAGTATTTAGGGCATCATTTGGGACATTGTTATGAGGATTTTCACCATCATTTGTCACCGCCAGTACTGCTATCCTAATAAAAGAGCTTGTGTGACTTCCTCTTAAGCCTTTGAATAGCTTCTTTTGTTCCATATCCATCTTTCAAATTCTGTATTTGGTCTTCATATTGATTCTGTGAGCTGTTAGCCAATCTATAATTTCTTTCTGTTGCTTGAACTCAGGAACATACACTCAAGAGCTCTTTGATGCCTAAATAATTGCTTAAAATACTATTGGGAACACACTTAGGCAAACTCCTTAAAAGAAAGTGATCACCGATAACATCAATATCTCCTAATAGTGATGTAATTGAATTTTTGTTCTTCTATTTGCATTTGTGTAAAATTATTGTATGTATTTAATGAATATCACACCAGATCATAATTCCAAACTGAGTTTTATTTTACTGCAATAATTTTCACCAGAACGTAAATACAAATTTACTTATAGAGAGCTAATGCTTGGAAATAAATATTAATTTCATGGACTATTTCTGATGAAATATGGGAAAAATAACTTTTAAATTACCATTTTTTAACAAAATTTCTCCTCTCCTGAAAAAGCAAGTTTTTCAACTTTGACACCATTAGAGATTATTCAAAACCATAACATAATTCTTTCTTTTAATTACCAATATTTCCAAATAAGTGCTTACTTCTTGGAGATGATAAGCAATTAAATACTGTATATACTTTTGCATGTGTATGTTTATATATATATATTTGTGTGTATACACATATCTTTTTTCCTGACAGCCCTCCATATCTATGGATTCTATATCTATGAATTCAACTAAACATGGACCAAAAATTTGAAAAAAAAAATTTCTGTACTGAACATGTAAAGACTTTTGTCATCATCATTCCCTAAACAATACAATATAACAACATTTACATAGCATTATAATAGGTATTACAAGTGATCTAACAATGGTTTAAAAATATACATGATGATATGCATAGGTTATATGTAAATACTAAGCTATTCCATATAAAGGACATATATGGAATCTGAAGATTTGATAGCTGCCTTTGGTTTTGGAATTGTATCCCTCATGGAAGCCATGGGAAGACTGTACATACAATTTTAAAATTTTTACTTGTCTTTTATAAAAAAAAAATGCTATAATAGTTGTCTCTGGTAATGCAAATTTGGAAATGAATCAATTCAAAATTGGTAGCCATATATCAATAACCACTTACAATATAAGTGTTAGAAAAAGTATATCAATTTATGTAAATTAATTTAAATACTATACTGGTGACTTATATAAAAGTGAATAACAATTTAATGCTTTAAAATATTAAACTCTTAATCTGCGTTTTTAAACTTAGCTACATTTTGACAAAATTTTAGCTTGTGTACATGGCATCT